GACTATGAGAAGTCAAAGTTGAAAGCCAGGATAAGAGCACCTTTTGGGAAGCAAGACCAGGTGAAATTCAATGGAACGTCAGCTTCCATTCATATAATTTTGGGAAAGTTCAACTACCAGTCCTTCGTCACCTTAAACTAACTATGGTGAGTACATCTCACATATTAACTGTTAATTAACGCTAATTGCTTTATACCTATGCAAAGTTGCAGGACTATTTTAGATACTATTTCTCGTTAACCGAAAATTAGCAAGAAATATAAAGTAAATCTCTACGTCATATAGAAAATTAAGAAGAATAAAACGTTTATGTTGGTCGTTAAGCCATAATTTGAGTATAGGAACTTTAGCACAAAATAATTCTAAAGAATATTATATATTTCTTTTAAATTCGACCTACATTTGAAAAAAAAGCTCAACGAGTGATAGGCCAAGAGACAAGTGCGCAATTGCTCACGTTTGGGAATGTACCACGTCCACTATTCAACTTTAGAAATGATCATGCATACAATGGACTCCGGAGAAGATGCGTTCCTCTAAGTCTTACCACCAATATGACCCAGTTGCGAAAACAAGGTCAAACAACCTCTAACACAAAGAGATTTCATTAAAATATCCCGCAATGATTCCATATTTACTTTATCATAAAAGTGAAAAATAACAGCGGCTAACTTTAGTAGGACCACTTAAAAAACGAAAAACGAAAATAGTCACTTCCTACTACTAAACTAGAATAACTACCTGTAAACTCCCGATGCGAAGGCAGCAAGGAGGTCGGTCGTCTGGGACTCAAGCTTCCTGTCTCATTTTGACTTTTGCTTGCCTGGCTGATGACATTATCCAAGGCGACAAAGGCACTTGCATCTTTATTTGGTTGTATGTCGTCTGTTGTGATCAAGTTTTCGGCTGAGTCCGAATCGGTTTCCGGTTTAATGTAGGAGGGGGAGACAGCTTCAGAAGAGTTGACTAAGTCGATATTAAGCCGGGAGAGGTTTGGGTCAAACTCCTGAAGATTGGAGCGTGAGCGTAGGTATCTTATGGAATTAGACATGGACTTAGCAGTGCCGGATGGGTCAGGGGCAGAGTTAAGCCAAGGAGCAGGAAACGAAGGTGGCAAGGTCAGTATCTCGCGATTGCTTCCAGGAGAAAATGAAGCTGCAGATAGATTAACAAATCCAGAGGTAGCTGTGGTGGGAATCGGTTCGGGTACGAGGCGAGGATGAGTGGAACTTGATTCGCTCATTAGAACTGAGCGTACCCAGGCAATATTAAGTGGGCAGCCAGCTATAAGCCAGTCGAGGAATTCCTAAGAAACCAAAAATGGAAAAAGACAAAGCGCCTTTAGTCCAGCTGCTAAAAAGAGCGCCAAAACCAAAACAGATATAAATCGCCAAAGCCCAAATGATTGTAAAACTATTAAATAAAGACAGCTGTTCTATTCTAAAAAATGCACAAAATATGGATAAAAATACAAATAAATAAACAAGTCACAGCATTACACATTATTAACGAGTGAACCTCTTGCTTTAGCCAAATAATTATTTTGCTGATTTGTTGAGCTCCCTAACAGTTCGAGAGAAATTGTGTAATAAATTGATCCAAAGGTAGAGCCGACTAGAATAAGATAGTGGACAAATGCCATTTGGACTTGCCGGAATATTTTTTGTTGACGCTGTCTTCGAGGTAACCTACTTCGATTCTAGTGAAAACGAGCTGAGCATTTATTTATCACAAAATGGAAATCATCAAACCAAAGTAACATTCCTACATCTAACTCTAGTAAAAATGTAAACGAAACTCACCGGCTTAACCTTAAATATGGTATGTATGTTCTAAATTAGGCATTTTATCGTTCAATTATAATTCATAGGGATTTGATAGTTTTAAAAAAAAAACAAATGCATAATCTGGAGCATCGTTTTTTTATCACTAAGGGTGAGAAAGGAAGAGTCAGAAGCCAAGAGGATACGTCTTCAGTAAGTCTTATCAAAACAAGTAGAACC